CTCAAGTGGTAGAGCGCTCGCCTTGAGCTGAAGAGCTGAGGGACAGCGCCCAGGCCCAGAGTTCAAGCCCCATGACCGACCAAAAAAAAATAACATCCATAATCATGTCTCGGAGGTCTGGAAGTATGGAAAGAGTTTGGAATGGCCCCGGGTTCCTAAGCTGAAATGATCACTCTCCTGAGCTTTTGTTTGCTCTCTCTGAGCTGTGAGCAGCAGTTTGCTCCTCCCACCCCTGCTGCAGGCTCTGTAAGAGGCTGTAGGACCCCCGTGGCAGCATGGAAGTCACACCACACACATGCTTTGAGATCCAATGCAACTGAGCCCATCTTTATACAGGCTGCTGACCTCAGACAAATTCTAAGTCTGAGAAATGGGAACAATAATAATAACACTTACCTCATTAGGCTACTAGGAGGATTAAGTAAGAAAATATATGGCTGATGGGCTGGGAAGGTGGCTCAGTGGTAGAGCGCTTGCCTTGCATGCATGAGGCCCTGGGTTCAATTCCTCAGCACCACATAAGCAAAAAGAAAAAAGCCGGAAGTGGCGCTGTGGCTCAAGTGGTAGAGCGCTAGCCTTGAGCTGAAGAGCTGAGGGACAGCGCCCAGGCCCAGAGTTCAGGCCCCAGGACCGGACCCAAAAAAAAAAAAAAAAGAAAGAAAATGTATGGCTGAGGGTGTAATGTGCCCAATTAGCATATTTGACTCCCTGGGTCCACTCCTAGCACCAGAGAAACCAAACCAAACTGTAGGACACTTAGCACAAGCTAGGCATCGGTGATTCACGCCTGTAATCCTAGCTACTCAGGAGGCTGAGATCTGAGGATTGTGGTTCAAAGCCAGCCTGGCACGAAAGTCCATGAGATTCTTATCTCCAACTAACCATCAGAATAACCAGAGGTGTTGCTCTGGCTCAAGTGGTAGAACACTAGCCTTGAGCCTTGAACTGAGGGATAACGCCCAGGCCTAGAGTTCAAGCCCCACGACCAAAAAAAAACACCACTTAGCACAGAGTTGAGGGTAGAGTGCACATCAGCAAAGAGAAGCAGTGTTGTGTGGCACACAGAGCTATCTAGGGCTGGGTGTAGCAGGGTGGTCCAATGCTTGCCTAGCATGCACAAGGCATACACAAGGGGTGAACATAAACAGACTGTCTGTAGGCCAGGCCCTGGAAGTAGAGACTCAGACTAAAGAGGTCCCTGGCAGTGTCTCCACAAACTATACAAGGGGTTGTCAGAAGAATAACCCCAGATGCCAGGCGGAGACGCCTCTCGGCAGCTGGGTCCCACTGTCAGGGACAAGGGCCTGCTTGTCCTCTTTCAGTGTCCAGTTGTCTGTCCAGTCTTCTGTTTCCCTGGATGTTGCCGGCCTGTCATGACTGACTGCATCCTCTAACTTGTGTCTCCAAGGGTGTGAACCTCCAGAAGCTCCTGGAAGCTGGGGACTTTATCTGTCAAGCCCTGAACAGAAAAACCAGCTCCAAAGTGGCTCAGGCGACCTGTAAACTCTGAGCCCCTTGTCTACTGAGGCCCCTTGGACTTCATGGGAGCAGGACGTGCGTGGGTGATTTCAGAATGAGGGACTGGAAATGAGTATAAAATAAAAAGGAGTGGGTACTTCACAGGCCGCTCTGCACTGAGGTGTCTCCTGCCCTCAGGCCAGACCTGAAGATCAGCGCAGCCTCCATTCACCAGGCCCCAGAGCTCAGGAGCTGAGTGCTGGACGACACATGGGAACCTGCTTAGGGTGGTCCTGGAGTCAGTTTCGGGGAGTCTGTCAGCTAGACCTGTACACAGCTGACAGGATCCAGGCCACTGCTCTCGACTGAGGGCAGAGGGCACTTGCTGATAGGGTTGAGGACTGGGCTTCTCTGGTGGGCATCCGCCAACTCCAGTGTCTCCGGGAGCCTTCACACCGAATGTGATTTTTTAAAATTATTAAAGATTTAATTTTCCAGTACTTGTGGTGAGGCCGTGTGTTTACGACTGCAGCACTGCCCTGGGCGGGAATAAAGGCAGGCCTTGCTCAGCGTCCCTGGGTTTCCTCCCTCGTGGCCCCCGGCGCCCCGGTCCAGGGCCAGCGCGGGCTCCCCCGCCCGCTGTGCCCACAGAGCCTAGGGGTGCGACTCTGCCCGCGGTTGTGCTGGCAGCCAGCCCTTCCCGGAGGTGGGGGAGCGCGTGTCCGGGCTTCTCAGCGCGCCCGTGCGCGGCCGTGTCCTTAGCGGCCCCATCGCCAGCCCGCGGCCCCGAGGCCGCCGCCGCCGGCGGAGCCCCACATCCCTTGGAACGTTTCGGCGTGGGAACCGGGCTCCGCTGCGGCACGGACATCCAAAGCGCCGGCGCCGTCCCGGCTCCCCGTCCTTCACGGGATGGCGCCGCCCCCTCCCGGCCTCCGTGGGAACGCGCCGCGCGGCCGCCTGACAGCAGCTCCGGCCTTTTGTCCCCGCGGAGACCCCGTAACCCCACGACACGTTTCCTTGGGGGCGGGACGGGGCGGAGCCAGGCTGGGCTGTCAGCCCTTAAAGGGGCCGCCGCGCGGGGCGCGGGAGGCGGCGCCGCAGGAGCCAGTGCAGGGCGCGCAACCCCGGCAGGTTCGGGCGGAGGGATGAAGGGAAGGAAGGGCAGGGCGGGTGGTCGGCGGGGAGCAAGGGACTTCCAGGAGCGCTGGGCGCGTTCTGGGCCTCTTCGGCTCTCGTGTCCCGCTGTGATGGCCCGAGTGCTCCGGGTTCATTCATTCCCGGCCCCGACAGCCAGCTGTCCTCGGAGCCACGGCCCGGCACCCGTTCCTCACCATTGTACAGATTGGGGAAACTGAGGCGGTGGCAGTCGACCAAGGTCATCCCCGGGTCGGGATGGCGCGGGCCTCGGGCCAACCTCGCCGCCTCCCAGGGCGGGCCGCGGCCGCTGCGGGGCTCGGCGGGGGCACCGGGCGGGCCGAGGCCGGCGGGAGCCGCGTGGAGGGGGCGGGCGGCGAGCCTGGACGGCCGCTCCCGCCGGGCCCTCGCCTGCGGTGGGATCGCAGGCAAAGCACTTGGCCCCGATACCCTCCGCTGTAGAGGGCCAGTGACAGCACCCCGGGGAATAGCGCACAGGCGCGGGGTACGGAGCCTGGCACGAGCGGGCGCCCAGCCCCGGGGACGGCACCGGATGAGCACAGAAGGGGTTTAGGTGGCTCGGAGGGAGGCGGCGGCCGGCCAGGTCGCCGGAATGAAAGGCCGCAGTGTCCGGGGCTTCCGCCCCGCCCCGCCCCGCCCCGCCCCCTCCGCTGGCAGAATTTGTTCCGGGCGGGCGGGGATGCACACCTGGCAGTGGAGCCTGGGCCAGGTCCACGTCGACACTGGCCCACCCAGTGGCCTGGAGGCTGGACGGTTTCCGTAATTCCAAGCTAAGAGTGGGGCTGGGCCGACCCTGGCAGACTGAGCTCAGCCGCTGCCCTGGGGTGGGGCAGGCGGGCAGCTCCAGGACTGTGGGTCACCAGTCCCAGAGTTGGACTCAGCCTGTCTGGCTAAGGGACCCCACCCTGGAGGTCATATGCATTTCCTGCTTCCTCTAAACTGACTCGAGGGAAAGGGAAGAAGGGAGGGGGTACCTAGAGCTGGAAACATTGACACCTAGTGTGAGTAGAGGCCTCAGTTGCATGGACAGAGCCTCCAGCTGGGATCCTGGAGTCCCAGTCCTGCTGCCATTTTCCCGTCTGCCCGGACTGTCCAGTCTCTAGACATTTGGACTGGAAGTATGGGTCCTCACAAGTCCATCTTCCCAACCCTGGGTCAATTGGAACTTGAAAATATGGAACCTAGCTGGGTACAGTGGCTCACACCTGTAATCCTAGCTACTCAGGAGGCTGAGATAGTCCCTAGGCTCACCTAATGAGAAATGTTCCATCCAAGGCCCTGAGTTTGGCCACAGCTGACAGGAGCCCTGGGCCAGGTGCAATGGCAGAGAAGGTCCTGGTCACAGGCGGGGCCGGCTACATTGGCAGCCACACAGTGCTGGAGCTGCTGGAGGCAGGCTTCTCACCCGTGGTCATCGACAACTTCCATAATGCCATCCGCGGTGAGTGTGGGCGTGGGGCTCTGGGGCTGGAGGAGGAAAACCCTGCATCCAGGACCCCATCTCTTCATGTGGATGTCTTCTACTCACTCACCAGGAGGGGGCACTCTGCCTGAGAGCCTGCAGCGGGTACAGGAGCTGACTGGCCGCTCTGTAGAGTTTGAGGAGATGGACATCTTGGACCAGGCAGCCTTACAATATCTCTTCAAAAAGGTGGGTGCTCAGGGGGTTATTGGGCCTTCTCGAGAAGGTGGGGTCTGGCAGAGCTAGCAGGCAAGCCGAAGAGTCCTTTCATTGCCAAGGGCTAGACCCTCCAAGCTGCCTCCGACCCTGGCTTTGCCCCCACAGCACAGTTTTAAAGCTGTCATCCACTTTGCTGGGCTCAAGGCTGTGGGCGAGTCAGTGCAGAAGCCTCTGGACTACTATAGAGTTAACCTGACAGGGACCATCCAGCTTCTGGAGGTAAGAGGCCTGGGCTGCACTGGCCAGCAGTGCCGGCCACCATGGGTAAGGGCTTTCATGGGAGTCAGATGCAGCCCCAAGCTGCACCATCTTGGACACGTCTTTCCTTTCCTCCAGCCTTAATGTCCCTGTTCCACCTTAGTGCCACCCTCCCAGTGACAGGGGTGGCCGGTGGAACCGAGATGTGTGCCACAGGCCACGCCTCACCTTCCCTCCCCTTGGCTAGATCATGAGGGCTCATGAAGTGAAGAACTTGGTGTTCAGCAGCTCAGCTACTGTTTATGGGAACCCCCAATACCTGCCCTTGGATGAGGCCCACCCAACCGGGGCTTGTACCAACCCTTATGGCAAGTCCAAGTTCTTCATTGAGGAAATGATCCGGGACCTGTGCCGAGCAGACAAGGTGAGAGCCCCTTGACCCAAGCACTGGCTTCACTTACTGGCTTCTGGTGGTACCCTTGAGTTTGAAGATGGACTCCTGACCACTCCCCACCCCAAAGAGTAAGCTAAGGCTTAGAAGTGGTAGTGCTGGCCAGGCACCAGTGGTTCACGCCTGTAATCCTAGCTATTCAGGAAGCTGAGATCTGAGGATCATGATTCAAAGCCAGCCTGGGAAGGAACGTCCATGAGATTCTTATCTCCAATGAACCACCAGAAAACTGGAAGTGGTGCTGTGGCTCAAGTGGTAGAGCGCTAGCCTTGAGCTGAAGAGCTGAGGGACAGCGCCCAGGCCCAGAATTCAAGCCCCATGACAGACCAAAAGAAGAAGAAGAAGTGGTAGTTAGACAACAAATGGAATCACTATCTTATGTAATCATAACCCCTCTGTGCATCACCTTGACAAAAATTTAAAAAAAAGAAGTTGTAGTGCTGAGCCAGGTGCGGTGGTTTAAGCCTGTAACACCTGCTACTTGGGAGGCAGAGATCGGATGATTATGGTTCCAAGCCAGCTTGGACAAAAAAACAGTTTTGGAACTTAGAGCCCAGTCATCATCTCAGTGACACAAAGAAGTGCAAATAAGCTCACAGTCCAGGCTAGCCTAGACAGAAAATGCAACCTTGTCTAGAAAGTAACCAACCCCCCAGAGTAGCTCAGTGATGAGTATCTGCTTAGCAAGTATAAGACCCTAAGTTCAATCCTCAGTATGGCAAAAAAAAAAAAAAAAAGTTGAGGGCTGGGAAGGTGGCTCAGTGGTAGAGCGCTTGCTTTGCAGGCATGAGGCCCTGGATTCAATTCCTCAGCACCACATAAGCAGAAAAAAAAGCCAGAAGTGGTGCTGTGGCCCAAGTGGTAGGGTGCTAGCCTTGAGCTGAAGAGCTGAGGGACAGTGCCCAGGCCCAGAGTTCAAGCCCCGCAACGGACAAAAGAAAAAAGTTGAGGTGATGTGCCCAAGATCACAGCAAGGAGGGAGGATCCCCAGCCCTTGGCCATTTCTAGAAAACCGACAGAGGTGAGGCAGAGAACTGTGAGCTGGAACGCACTGCCTGCACCCCTGCTCCACTGTGCCTGCATCTCTCAGACCTGGAATGCAGTGCTGCTGCGGTACTTCAACCCCACCGGTGCCCACGCCTCCGGCCGCATTGGCGAGGATCCCCAGGGCATTCCCAACAACCTCATGCCCTATGTCTCCCAGGTAGGGGCAGCAAAGGGCTGGCGGGGTTGGCACAGGGATATAGCTGAGGACCTAGAAGGAGCTGACCTGAGCCCTGCCCTAGGTGGCCATCGGACGGCGGGAGGCCCTGAATGTCTTTGGTGATGATTATGCCACAGAGGATGGCACCGGTGAGCCCAGGACCAGGAGGGCCCAGGAGTGGGGGTCAGGAGAGACAGGGGGGGCAACTTCCCCGTCCCACCACCTTGTTCTCTGCAGGGGTCCGGGACTACATCCATGTTGTGGATCTGGCCAAGGGCCACATCGCAGCCTTGAAGAAGCTGAAGGAACAGTGTGGCTGCCGGGTAGGGAGAGTAAAGCAGCCAGGGGGGGAGGGGAACAGAGTTGCGGACAGCGGGGCCCGCACGGACAGTCTAGTTCACCCATGAACCCTGTTCCCCGGGGCAGATCTACAACCTCGGCACGGGCACGGGCTACTCGGTGCTGCAGATGGTCCAAGCCATGGAGAAGGCCTCAGGGAAGAAGGTAGGCCCCGCCCAGCTCTCGGCAGTGGAGAGCCTGGGCGCTTGCCTCTGCCCACCCACTGGGCACCCAGCATACCCAGAACCCTGTGGCTGCCTGGCACTTCAGTGGCAGGCGCTCAGTGAAACTTCTCCCTCTTCACAGATCCCATACAAGGTGGTGGCACGGCGGGAAGGCGATGTGGCAGCTTGTTACGCTAACCCCAGCCTGGCCCATGAGGAGCTGGGCTGGACAGCAGTGTTGGGACTGGACAGGATGTGTGAGTGCTGACTGACCTGGGCCAGCCAGGGCAACCAGGGCGTCTTCCCTGGGCTGCCCTCAGGGCGGGCCCTGACCACCCCTACCTGTCATAGGTGAAGATCTGTGGCGCTGGCAGCAGCAGAATCCGTCAGGATTTGGGGCGCAGGCCTGAGGAACTTCCCCTGCCATGGACCAGGAAAGGAAGAGAAGCAGCTGCCTGTTCTGCGGCCTCCCAGCCTCCTGCGGGACACATCACCCTGAAGCTCTGGGGCCAAGCTGAGGCTATCCTACCTCAAACCCAAGCAGGGTCCAGTCAGCCCTCCAGGCAACAGGCCACCGGCTCCACTGACGGGGAGCTCCTGCAGGACCACCCGAGGGGCGGAGGAGGCGGGGCTCCCGGACCACACACCTCCCAGGCACTGATGCAGACTGCCACAGGGGGGTTTTCCTAAGTATTTTAATAAACCTTTTCTTACGCTGAGCATTTTGCTACATCTACTCTGCACGCACACCTTGAACAGAACCAGGCAGGCCTAAGAGCTGAGGAAGCAGTTTCTTTAATTTCATTGGAATCCAGGACACAAGAAAAACACCCAAAACCACATGGAGACAGAAGACATGGAAACACAATCCTCCCCCACAACCTCCCTAGTCCTAAGAGTGGGGACATGGTGGGGGTCAGACAGCCAGGGGGAACCTTGTGCCTCAATCCAGCCCTGCAGGCTCCAGGCCTGTGAGGGTGGAGGGCAGCAGGGAGGCAGGGTCCAGCCCCCAAGTGGGGGACCAGCTGAGGGAAGGCCCCTGGACTCCACTCCACCTGCCTGCCCCGCAGCAAGCAGCCCGCAGCAGCCAGGGGCCGGGGCCACGAACACATTCATGATTGAGAAGCAGCTGCAGCGAGGCAGGAGACACACGATTATCTGGGCAGAGTTGCTGGGGTGGGGCCTGGGAGGGCCCAGGGGCCAAACCCTGAGGTCGCAGGAGGGGGCCCAAAGCGGGGCTAGTGAGTGAGGTCCTGAGTGAGTGGGTCAGCAGCTGGGCCCCTTTCTCCCGCTGCCTACAGCCCCTCCAATACTGCTGCCGGGGGCCCCGCCTCCGGGGATGTGGGGTGAAGAGTAGCCCACTCCTGCTGCAGACTACCAGGTGGCAGGGGACGGCAGGGAAGGCCTGGCCAGGCCTCAGCTGCCTGCCCCAGAGGCCGGTGGGAAGAGGGCAGGGTGGTGGGGAAAGGACAGGGGCTTGCTCAACCGGCTCAGATCCAAGACAGTGCGGTGCTTGCTTGCTGGGTCTCCCAGGAGCTGGGGACTGCACTGGGGCCAGTGACTCCGGCTAGACTGGAGGCAGCAGCTTTTCAAGGAATTCCTTCACAGCTGCCATCTCCTGGGGTTGGAGAAAATGGTGAGGCTCTGGGCTGGAGGGAGAAGGGAGAAGGTGGTAACAGCTGCCCGCACTGACCTGCGGACACGAGCTGTGCATGACGCCTGGGTAGGTCTTGAACTGGACCCTGGCAGGTGTGACAACCGACCGGAGCTTCTCAGCTGTCAGGGCTCCAAACCGAACAGGTACCATGGGGTCCAGCTCCCCATGACACTGAAGGATGGCCAGGTCCTTGGCACTGCCATTGGCTGCCTGTGGAGCAGACAGAGGGCCACGCCAGGCTGCAGCACGAGGACCACACAGCGAGGACACCCAGGGTAGGAGGGGCTGTGGGACAATCACCTGGGGGAAGTTCCGGTGCAGGGGCAGCCAACAGCTCAATGCCACGATGCCAGCCAGAGGGTGGGGGCAGGTGAGAGCTGTGTAGAGGGACAGAGCCCCACCCTGGAGAAAGGACACAGGGCAGGTCATGAGGGTACAGCTCACCCACCCAGCCCCTCCCCTCCCCTCCTCCCTCACCTGTGAAAAGCCACCCAGGACGATCCGATTGGCAGGGATCCCGTTCTTCATCTCGTGCTCAATCAAGGCCTTGACTGGGGAGAGGGGCATGACTGGGTGAAGGAAGTGGCTGGGGAGCTCCCCCCACCTAAGGGAGTCGGGTGGTCACTGCCCAGTGCTTTCAGGAAGGGAAGATGCAGGGGGGGGGGGAGACGGGGGTCTTACTGTTCTCTGCTGCCTTCTTGATGCCAACCTCATCTTCTGGGGCATCTGGACTCAGCCCCATTAGGTCAAACCTGGGTGACCAGAGGCGTTGGAAGCAGCTGGAAATCCCAGCCAGCCCCCTGCAGCTCCCAGCTCCCCTCCAAACTTACCAGGAGGGCATCACCATCTTCATGTTGAGTGTCACAGGGATCCTAGGCCTGGGAGGGAGAGCCAGAGGGCCATGATGCTTAGAGGGATAAGGAAGCCACAGCAGAGAAACAGGGAGGGAACAGAGCAGCCCCTGGAGGCCCCTCCCAGCAGGCAGGGCCTGTGTTTAAGGTGTTGCCAGGCAACCTGCCACGTGGGGCTGGAGGCTGTGGCTGGAGCACTGGAAGTGAAGGAGAAGATCCATCTAACAAGGTGACAGGGATTCCGGATGAGTGGGTGAGTACTTGGGGAAGGGGCCCAGGAAGCGCTGGTTCCAGGAGATCTGGGGTCTTAAGCCCCTGGGGTTGGGGGTAGGAGCACATGCTCAGTGCCACAGCCCAGGAAGCAGCTGATGGAGGAAGCAGCTGACAGAGAGAACGGGGCAGGCTGGGAAGCACAGGACACCCCCTGAGCCCTTCCCTCGCTGAGCTGATACTCACGCATGGGGACAGATGTACTTGACGTGAGGGAGCCGGATGGTGGAGAGGGCGTCAGCCCAGCTGTGCCTGTAGGACGGAAAGGAAAAGAGACAGTGTTGTGGGAACGGGCAGCCCTGCCTGCTAGGCCCTGCCCCCTCCCCAAGGAGCACCCCATCCTTGCTCTCACCCTGTGTCTCCAAGTCCATGTAAAAAGATAACCTGGAAAAAGAGTAACACATGGGGAGGTGGGAAGCTCCCCTTTCCATCCCCAGCTTCAGCTCACCCCTCCCCCAGCCCAGTCCCCTGAGGGAGCTGACATAGGAGCCAACAGGTGATTAACCCTGACCTCCTGGCTTGAGGCTACTCCCTTCTCCTCACTGCCACCTCCACGTTTCCCACACCTCTCCAGGCCACTGTCCTCTACTAGATCTGGTCTAGAGGCTGCTAAGAGTGCCAGGGAGCTTACCGCAGCTGTTTCCCGCTCAGCTCCAGACACGGTGGCGGCGTCAGTGAGCAGGGGCACAGACATGGTGTTACCACACATACACTGCAGGAGTCCCTGCAGGCTGGGCCTGGAAGAATGAGGGGCAGTTGGTTCAGAACACAGCCAGGCAGAGACAGCCTCCTAGCTCAAGAGGCACACACAGGCCAACAGACCCCACAGCACCCAGGTTCAATCCTGGGTGCAGAAAAGACAGGCAAGAGGTGCAAGCTAGCTAGATACTCATAGTTCATGCCTATAATCCTAGCTACTCAGGAAGCTGAGATCTGAGGATCATGGCGGGAAGCCAGCTTGGACAGGCAATCTTCCTTTTTTTTTTTGTCAGTTGTCCGGCTTGACTTCAGGGCCTCAGTGCCACAGCACCACTTCTGGTTTTCTGGTGGTTAATTGGAGATAAGAGTCTACTGGGGGCGGGTGCCGGTGGCTCAGGCCTGTAATCCTAGCTACTCAGGAGGCTGAGATATGAGGATCATGGTTCAAAGCCAGCCAGGGCAAGAAAGTCTGTGAGACTCCTATCTCCAATAAACCACTACTCCAATAAACCAGAAGTGGCATTGTAGGTCAAGTGGTAGAGCACTCGCCTTGAGCTGAAGAGCTGAGGGACAGCGCCCAGGCCCAGCCCATGACTGACAAAAAAAAAAAAAAGTTCCTCACCTCACTGCTGCCTCAACTTCCCTGGTCTTTAGGACCCCTAGTGGCTGAACCTGGAGGGCTGGGAAAGTGACTCGGTGGTAGAGCGCTTCCCTTGCGTGCATGAGGCCCTTGGTTTGATTCCTCAGCACCACATAAACAGAAAAAGCCCGAAGTGGCATTGTGGTTCAAGTAGTAGAGCACTTGCCTTGAGCTAAGGAGCTGAGGGGCAGCACCCAGGCCTATAGTTCAAGCCCCATAACCGACCAAAAACAAAAAAAAAAAAGTGCCTCCTGGACTTTCCTGCCCAGGCTGGCTTTGAACTGTGATTCTCAGATCTCAGCCTCCTGAGTAGCTAGGATTACAGGCGTTGAGCCACTGGGTCCGGGCTAGACTTATCTCCAATTAACCACCACAAATCCAAAAGAGCTCACACCTGTAATCCTAACTACCCAGGAGGCTGAGAGGGTCAAAGCCAGCCCAGGCAGGAAAATCCATTGAGACTTTTTTCTCCAATTAGTTACCAAAAAGCCAGAAGTGGAACTGTGGCTCAAGTGGTAGAGCAACAGTTTTGAGCAAGATAGCTCAGAGACAGCATCTACACCCCGAGTTCAAGTCCCAGGACCAGCACCAAAATAAGGGGGAAGGGTAGGGGTAGGATATTCAAGTCTCAGTACTGGCACCAAAAAGTCCAAGACAGAACGACTGGAAGTTGGCCTTCAAAAGAAGCAAAGGTAGTCACCTAAATGGTCCAGAACTCATTCCCTGGTTCTGGCTGAACCCCAGAGGCTGAGCTTGCTCTAGACAAGCAGGGAGCAGAGGTTAAGAAGTGGGAGGAGGAGGATGGTAACTCCCTCGTTGCAAACTGCCTCCTCCTTGGTCTCCTAGTATCCCTTCTCTGGACTCCTGGGGTCCCTCCTCCCCAAATCTCAGCACTTAAGGGGAAATGAAGGGGAGAAAAATGCCAGAGAAATATGTTTCCAGCTCCCTATCCCCGTCTTCTCCATCTTTCCTCCTTTTCCTTCCATCTAGCCCCCACTCCATCATTTCTCGCTCAACCATTCCCAGGGCCCCCGGGGATCCCCTGAGAGCCTAAGGACCCCCCACCCCATCTGCCACCCACCCCCACAACTAGTGTTCCACGCCCCAGCGCGAAGGCTACCTGCTGCTGCTGGTGCGGCTGCTGGTGCTGGGGCCAAGTGACTCCAAATGGGCCCCCAGCTGAACAGGTTCTGGGACTCCCAACACCCCGAGAACGTCAAGCCGGCTGGCCCCTCCCCGCGCTTAGCATCCTTCAAGGTCCGGAAGCTGGCGCCACCTGCCTCTAAGCACCCAACCCTCCTGGGGCGCCAGCCTCCCCGACCCGCTCCCACCCTCCAGCCCCGACCCGGCACGGCCCTCACCGAGCTGGGCCTACTACCCCGGGTCCTCAGCCCTCCGCGCAACGCACCCCGACGGGGTCCCCTTCCGTCTCCACCCGCGGGGCGCCCGACTCCCCGGTCCCCCCCCATCCCCCGGCAGGACCCCGGGTCCCCCAGCTGCCACAACTCCCGACCTGACTCAAGATGGGCCCCTCCCCACCGAGCGGCCATCACCTCTGACCCGGGGAGGCCCCGCCC